CCCACTTTGTGGTTCAAGGGCTCCTCAACAAGCTGCTCTAATGATGGTGGTTTCCTTGTAGGTGCTGTTTCTCTGGCAGGGGTGGAATCGGGCCTTTGGTCGGTCAAAGGAGGGAACAAACTGGTCTGCACTGGCCTTATCTACGCCTCCAAAGCTGAAGTTATCCCTGGTACCGTTCTGTCTATAGAGCCAAAAATCAGACCCAGACCCACAGGTGAGTTGGGGTTGTTTCCCCTTCGGTGGGGAGGGGAACGGCACCTCTCCGGCGGCTGGAGACCGACGTTGGCCTCCGGCACTGCTCTTGGCGGACCGAAGCAACACGATTGGGTTTTCCTTGGTCTTTTAAAATGAAAAGTGGGCTCTGCTCAAAGCCCCAGCTCACAGCTAAGCTGGGACTAGTTTATAAAGCTCCTTCAGCCTACTGAGCCTAAACGTGGTGGCGTTTTGACAGCCTGATGTTGGTCCGAGGGACAGGCGGGATTCCCGGCCGCCGCGGGGTGGGATGACTGAGCTTTTCTCCCCAGGGGACCCGGTGAAGCTCTACCAGGTCACTTACAACACGACGTCGGGATTAACGGGGGACACGTACGACATCGTCGTCCTCGCTGCTCCGCTGGGCCGCAAGATGGCCAACATCACCTTCAAGAACTTCGACCCTCCCGCCCCGGAGTTCCCAAATCCTTACCACCAGACCGTCACGACGTTCGTGCACGGGCGATTAAACGCCTCCTTCTTCGGTTACCGGGACCCCTCCGCTTTTCGTTTCGGTGCCATCTTCACTACGGAGAATCCCAAACTCTTCATCAATAGCCTGGGGGTGGTGTCTCCCGTGGAAGACGCAGGTGGTGAAGGAAAGCAGCCCTTGCAGTCGGCCGTCTGGAAGGTGTTCTCGCAGGAGGCGCTCACCAAAGAGCAGCTGAACTTGCTTTTCTCCTCCTACGACTCCGTCAAAGCGAAGAAGTGGTTGGCCTACCCCCACTACAGCCCCCCGGAAAAATGCCCTCCCATCGTCCTCCACGACCAAATCTACTACCTGAACGGCATCGAGCGGGCCGCCAGCGCCATGGAGATGAGCGCCATCGCGGCCAAAAACGCCGCCCTGCTCGCCTACCACCGGTGGTACGGCAACGCCGACAGGATCGACCAGGAAGATTTGCACGAGAAGCTGAAAACGGAGCTTTGAGCCAAGGGCCGGGCCCCCCCCCCGCCGCACCCCCTGGGGAGATGGGTCGAGCCCGGTCGCTGCTGAGCCCCAATTAAAGCTAACAAACTTGCTGAGCCCCCGAGAGGAGCCACCCAGCCAGCTGAAGGCAGACTAGAGCTGCAGCGAGGAGGTGGAGGAGGCTTTCCCCAGCGAGCTGGCCCTTCCTCAAGGAAACGCCTCGATCTATTCCCCTCATGAGATGTTTTAAATGCCGTATTGACCCCAAAAGTGCCCTCCACGGTAAGGAATCTGCTGAACTCAGGGTCCACATCACTGTGATTAACCCGTGCACGTCGCTTTCCCCTCTCTGGACGCGTTTCAGGCAGGGAAAAATCAACTTCTTGACTCTAAATCTCTTTATTTTCTGAGGAGTTACTCCTGGGGTGGGACTCGGGCGGTGGAAACGAGGGCTGTGTTCTTGAGTTGCTTCTGGACCAAGTCCTGTAGCTTACTGGTGTGGGGGGGGGCTGGTCTGCTGGGAGCAAAGGTGCCAAAATGGGTGCTAAGGAAGCCAAACCAGCCGTCCTTCGCTTGGCCAGGGTTTGAAAACGCTCGTAAGTGAGATAACCTGACCCTACAGCAGGGCACCACGGGGGCTGAGTGGGTAAAAACCCTTTTCATGAGAATATTGCGTCCCTCGACTGTCTCCAGGATCGCTGTGATACCTCAGTGTCGCAATATGGCCGTTACAAATAAAATTAACATGGTGGTTAATTAACGCTGGAGACAGCGTAGGGCTGCTCTGCGCTCAACCCTCGGACGGATCTTGGGGTCCAGCCGTGTCCTGGCTGTGCCATGCTGGGCTCAGCAGCAATAAAAACTACCCCAAAAAAATGACGTCATCATGCTTATGGTCTGCGTTATCCCCGCAGAACAGACCTCCCGCTGCCGGGCGCTCCTTGGGCCGGGTCGGGAAACCCGGAGAAGGAAGGTGGGGATTTGTACTGGTGGTGTCTGTCAGCAGTGCTGCAGGGATCCTCCAAATTTTCTGAGCAAACAGCTTGAGCTCTGCGCAAAGGTCGCTTTCTACAGCTCTTGGCATCCTTAGTGGGGCTGCAGAAAGCACTTGGCACCTCTGTGTTAATAACACAGTGACCAGAAAAAGACCGTTTCTGTCGCTAAGGACCTGCACGTGCGTTTGCTCAGAAAAAAGCAAAGCAAAAAAAAAGTCCAGTTTCTACCTGGCTCCCGCTCAGGAGAAAGACCTGAAGTTTTCTTCAGCCCCTGCAGGCTTTGGTTCCTGCACCACAACTCCATGATGCAGAAACAACAGTAAAAATCATTATTTAAACCCCCCCAAAATTCCTACTTTCAGGCAGTCCAGCTTGGTGCAAATACTCTACGTCACTCTTCGCAGAGTTTTACCATTTTCCTGCCAACTCAGAACCAATAACCCACTGAACAAACACGACAGAGCTCTGTAGCTCCTTCCTTACAAGATACTAAGGGGAAGGACGCCAAGGGTAGCACCAATTTAGCACCCACTTGTGTAATTAAGCCTTGTGAAAAAGTCCTCTCTGAGTTTTAGCGCTATGGGGAGCACAATTAACAACCGCCCCCACCGCGCTGAAGAACCAGTTCAGCTTCCGCTGCCCCAGTACCCCAGAAAAGCAAGCACCACTGACACGAGTTACGTCAACCATTACAAAAATTTATTTAACAAAAAAAAATAAGTTTACGCTCGGGGATGCTTCGTGGCAGGTTCAAGGAGTAACGAAAACGGGCGGGTTGGGGCTCATCACGGCCGGTAACGGCGCGGGTTTCTCCGGTGCTATACTCGTTCCAAGGCTTCCAGCATGATGATGCTGTTTCCCCGTATTACCTAAAAGTTCAGAGCAGCTGGTGAGATGCAGCACAGCAGGTCCCATCCCCCCGGCGTTACTTCCCTAAAAAGCTGATGCTGCACCACAAATGGAAATGAATTCCCGCGCCAGGATGAACACCGACTGATTTTTAACTCTTAAACCCCCGCGTGCTGCTACAGTAAAATGCGTCCAATTCCTAAAACCCAGCTGGTTTTACACGCCCCAGCGGGCTGCAGGACCCGCCACCCCCTCTCGCCGCCGCAGCAGCACTCACCACCATGCCGATGTTGTTCTGCTGCCCCCCCGGCGCCATCTCCACGCACTCATCGATGACGAGGTTCATGAAGGGGTCAAAGCCCCGCAATATCCCCTGGACGTGTCGGCCGCCATTTAACTTCACTACAAAGAAATCGAGGGCGGTTTACAAAA